GAGCTGGGCTGCGGCTGGCGGGGAACCTTGGGTTCCTCCATCGCCAGGGCAACCAAGCCTCATGTTTGCTTCAGCTGCGTGGCTGCCGGCCGCCATCTTGGTTGGCAGTTAATTTGGATATCACCCTGATTAGCCAATGGGAAACGTGTCGGAGTTATGGTTAAGTATCATGTTTGTCCATTATTAGATAGGATAATAGGAAGGACACATGTTATCTATGAATTTTAGAGAAAGTTTTATTTCATCTTATATCCTGTACATTATTACTGTGTCTAAATTGTGAGTAGCTGTTCACTTTTATTCTTTTAGTTTAAATTTTTCAACGAAGTCACAATTGTACATAATGTAAAAGTCAAAAATACTGACAATGTATTTCCCCAGCTCTTCTTAGCCCTCCCCACCTGTGATGGCCTTTTTAACTTCATTACCAATGTTTTCTGGTGTTTCACTCCAGTTTTTCACATCAGATGAATATTCTGGCATCTCTAGTTTTTTACTTTTTTTTTTTATTATTAGTTAAGGTATTACAAATGTGTCTTATCCCCCCCCCATTAACCCTCAACCTCCCCCCACACACACACTCATGCTTAGTTTTTTATTTTTTATTTACTGTGGAAAGTGAGGATATAGTCTAGAAATACCTCATTGTCCCAATATGTTATGTCAAATGCTATGTTGTATTCATAAGGAAAGATTTTATTGATTCTAAAATATTAACTAGAGTGTAATATTTTAGAAAGTGAAAAAATGAATTTTCATAATGTGTTGACAAGGAACTTCATTTAAAGCAAAATATTAGAGTCAGGAGGTTTTTATGTGCATAATTTAAGAGGATAACAATACTAACAATAATTTTGACTTAGCTATAGTATTAAAGTAGCACATAAGAAAATCTTCACTTATTCTTATCTTGCAATAGTCATGGGCTGAGTTTTATTGTTTTTAAATTCTAGTCAATTAGAGTTTTAGTCACCAAACATTTTACAGGAGCAGGGTGAAAGTGTAACCCTACCTAAAAGAATAAAAGTACTGAAGACGGACTTTTCTGAGAATCATAGATTTGCATGAAAAACCTCATGGGGAAAAATTGTAATTGCCTCAGCATGAGAAATGGAACATATTTTAAGATAATTGGAGACTGTCTTTTATGTGTTCTCTGGTTTAGTTTTGATTTTGTGTACTTTAATTTGTTTCAATCTCTTAATTTGGTTCTTCATATATCCTAAAGAATGTAAACACTTCTGAGAATCTCATTACTACTTGTGAAATTGCCTTCTTCTGTACCACTAGGTATACTATTTTGTCAGTCGTATTAGAAAAAAAGTGTTTTAGAACAGGCTATTATTTTTCAGCAATAAGACCTGAAAGTACATTGTGTGTAAGCTTAGTATGCTGTCACAATTCTTTGTAAACGGTTTTGTTTTGTTTTTGCATTTTTAAGTTCTACAGGAATCATCTTTTTGCTCTTATTCATGTGTAATCATTCATATATGTAAAATTTATATTTTTCACTTCTAACTTTGCTTAAATGCTGGTAATTAGTCATTCCTGTGACAAGTGTGGTGGGAAGTCTAATTTAATATGTTCCATTACTTGCTGAACACGTTAGTTTACAGATTCAACTTTTGCTTCTCTTTGCAAAGGCACTGAGGCGTGAGTTAAAGGAGAAGGAATATTCTGTCCTGAATGCAATAGACCAAGCTCGCGTTTTCCTGGCTGATCAGCCGATTGAGGCCCCTGAAGAACCAAGAAGAAACCTACAATCAAAACCAGGTGAGACTGGTTTCCTTCGTCCACCATGAAAACACATGTGGGGAGCACAAATAACCCCAATTCAGTAGGAAATGCCCCTAGAGCACTTCAGGGCCTGACATTATTTCAGGATTGGACATTACATTTTTTTTTATTCTGGAAATAACTGAATCAAATTTTATTATTTAACAAATGTCTAGCTTCTTAAATGACTGTATACCTCAATATTATTTTTTTCAAAAGGAAATTAACTACAGAAAATTTGACTTATTAAAAAGCACATTGAAACTAAAAGTAATTTCTTTAAGAAATAAAAATGTACATGTCTTATATTTCAACAAATTACGTAGTAAATAATTGCAAATAGAAAATGATATTTAAATACAGTAGTACATGTATGAAATATTTAAAATCTATAGAGATTGTTATAAACTTGTATTTTTCAAGATTACTTTTTAAAATAAGACATTGAAGTGCCTTTCTGTTACAAGCACCTGACAGACTTTACTTAATTTAAAAATAACAGCTTGTACTATTTATGCACTTTGGTTTAAAATGGAAATAGTAACTACCTTACTAGCAAATAGCAATAAATCGTATAAATTTTGGCGCCAGCATATGTCCTTATGATGATACTTCACTGTTGGCAATAAAAGCATTTTGATGCATTTTTTTAAAATAAACCCGCCATTCAAAATAGTTCTCAGTCACTCACTTCACATAGTGAAAGCAGACCTACGCGTCGGCCTCCTGCTGTGTCCCACAGTGTGATTCAAGAGCATTTCTTACTTGGAAGGGAAGTACATTTGGAAAAGGCTCCCTTTGACTGCAGCTGGAACTGGACCAGGCCTTTGGACAGGTAGCTGTTTTCCCACTCAGCCTTTCTCAGGGAAGTTCTGCTTCAATCTGAATAAATTTCCCAAGGCCATGAAGTCCTTGACCCTTTTAAATCTAGTTTTGTATGTGTGTCTGTGGGACACATGCGCAGCAGCACACTTACTCTCTTTTTTAGCATTAGCTTTTATTTTCTGCTGTGGTAACACTGTCTTCCCAGTCAGCCTACTGGGGACCTAAGTCATTGTTGAGTCTCCACCTTTTGGCAACCCCACAGTCTCTATCTGTGAAGAATTGCTATTTCTACCTGTGAGGAATTATTTCCTCTGAGTACTCAGTTATGTATGAATCATGCACACACATACCATATACATGTGAGTGATGCACACACCGACATGTACATAGTAGGTGCTTACTGCATAGCTGTTGCTTGAATGGATGCCTGAGCTGAGCACTCTTGGGTATGGTAGGAAGTGATTAGGTTCAGGGCAGAGGGATGACCACACTGGGCAGGACCAGCAGAGCCAGCAGCACAGCAGTGAGGGCTGTGCATCTGGTAGTCAGTCAGCCTAACCTGGGAGTCAAGGGCTTGTGCCTGGAACGGAGGTGAGGAGCTTATATGTGCTGTCTGGTTCAGATTACAGAGGCCCTGGAAAGTGCAACAGAATATTCCAAGTTAATACAGCAAGAAAGAAGGTGCTATTGTAGTTGCATTTTTTTTTAAGTGTGGAAGGAAAAATGAGAAGTTTACTTGTCTCTCCTTATCCAATTGAGAGTATACCTTAAATCTGTTTTTCTCATCTCCTTGCTTCCCCCGCACTTTGCAGAGAACAGAGGAAGCATTTTTATAATAAGCTACTTCATAGCCGTAAGCAAGTGTTATTATGTCACTAACGCTTCACTTTGCTAAAATTTTCCTCCTCAATGGTCAGTCAGTTTAAGGAGTTGAAAAACACACATTGCTTTTTAAATTCTTATTTTGCTATTATACTCTAGATGTTCCTAAGCCCCATTTTCACATACTCTACCTGATAGGCAAGGGGAAAAAATCATGTAACTTTATGACTTTTTAAGTTTTATTTTCTTTTTACGATTGGCAATTTCCATACTTTCTCCTTTCCTGGCTGATTTTACCTGATATTAAAAGTAATATCAGGTAAATCAGCTGCTGGCTGATTTTACCTGATATTAAAAGTAAATGAAAGAAAATTGTCCATAATAGATTTTATACGTCTGATGTTTACCATGACTCCGTGCCACTGCTATCAGAAATAGAGAGCATTTGAACATTAGTTACCTTGTGTAACGTTGAGTAAAGCACTCATTGTTGGAGGGGATAGAGTGGGGAGAAATCATATCATGGTTAGTTTTAAAATCTTCACCCAAGGATATTTTTTCCTTTGATTTCTAGAGAGAGTGGGAGGGAGAGAGGAGAGAGAGATGAAAGGGAGGGAGGAAGGGGAGAGGGAAGAGAAAGAGAGAGAAAAATCAAGGTGAGAGAGATACATTTATTGGTTGCTTCCTGCATGCACCACTACCAGGGCTGGGGAACCTGCAACAAAGGTACGTACCCTTGACTGGGCATGGAACCCAAGACCCTTCAGTTCGAGGGTCAGTGCTCTAACCACTGATCCAAACTGGCTAGGGCTCATAGTATGATTTTTACAATTCTTTTTCGTAAGCATTTGTTTACTGAGTACACTCTGTGTACTGTGCCACATGGGCACACCAAAATGGAGTCATCTTTTTATTTTTAAGTAACTATTCCAGAAAAGACTTCTCTCCATGATTTTTCTTTCCCAATGTCTTTTTTCTTCCAGCTTCTTTTCTTCATTTTGTTTTATTCTCGATTATAGTAGCATATGTATATTTATATTTTTTAATGATAGCCTGTGGAGTTTGGGGTCATTACTGAGTAGCACAAGCATGAGCTGTTCTCAGGCATCTGTTGACTGAAAAATACTATAAAAAACAAGCAAACTATTTCAACTAAATGATTAGTTGCTGTCAAAGAATCTCATCAGGTATGGTTTGCTAGATATTTTCTTTTCCCCCTAGTTTTACAGACATGTGATTGATTTGTAAAGTTGTATAAGTTTAAAGGTATATGGCAACACTTAATGCATTTGAATTTGTTTTTCATTTTATTTTAATCACCTGGCTTAATCACCTCTCATCACCATTTATATTGATCTTGTGCTTATTTTTTTATGTTTTTATTTATTTCAGAGAGGGGAAGGGAGAGGGAGAGAGATAGAAACATCAATGATGAGAGGGAATAATTGTTCGGCTGCCTCCCGCATGCCCCTACCGAGGATGGAGCCTGTAATCCCGGCATGTACTGAATGGGGAGCAAAATGTGAACTCTTGGTTCATGGGTCAATGCTCAACCACTGAGCCACACCGACAGGCTGTTCTTAAACCACTTTCTTATTCTCCTAACTATCTTAATGAGTTGGGCAGATCATAGAGTATGGCTTCTTTTGAAAAATAAATACAGACGTCTAAAAAAATATTGTGCTGCTGACCAAGATCATCAGCTGAAGTAGGGTAGATCCAGGAACAGCACTAATCCATGTTGGTGACTTTCTTAACCCCCAGGTTTTGGCTGGCTTCTACCTTCTCCCTTCATTTTGACCTCCTCTCGTCCTCTGCTCATTGGCCACTGACCTCCTCGCTCCTTCTTACTTTTAGTGTCAAGAACTTCTTAAACCTTCACAAATGTTTCTTGGCTTCTCCCATGTTCTTCCAAACTCCCTTGCTATTTTCAACCCAAAATTTAAATTCCTTTGAAAACCACACAACTGTCTATTGACGATAGCTCGCAAGATATCTGTGGGATCCACCCACAGTAGGCCTTAGCCCATTCCTGACCCCAAACCTCTTGTGTATGTGAAGTAATAATGTGCCTTCTTAACTATTCATTACCTACAGCTCAAGTTAAAAGTCAAATTTGCACAGGGGAGTTAGAGCCTCAGGTCTGCATCCCTCCCTTCACACCACATACAGAGCAGGCAGTTGCATATGCCAGTGCAGGTGCCACGCGTGCCTGCGCACACACATTTTATGATTTGAAGTTAAGGTATTGCTGCTAATGCTTTACCAAGATAAGTCACCTCTAATAGTGTTTAGAAAACATGTACAATTCATTGTAGATGTAGATGTAGGAAAGCGCTTTTACTCTATTTAGCTTTTGATTTTAAGACAAAAAGTTTGCATTATTTTGTTCATAAATTTCCCCTTAGTCTTCATTAACATGTATTCCAGTCCAGGCTTTACTATAACTATGACTATTATGTTATTCCAGGCTGACTATTATTTCTTTTTAGCATGGTGTAGTTGATTGGTTTACTTTGCTTCATTTCAGTCGTAGTCAGAATATTACTTTAGTGTGGTCATGCTTTTATAGTTGTGTGTAATGTGTATAGTTGTGTATGGGTTTATTTATCCACAACTTCATCTAGGTATATATGGTTGTACCTATGATAACTGGTTACTAATGATCATCTTTTCAGATAAAATAGTATATATGGGTTATTGTTTCTCCTCTTTGATCTTTGATAGCTGGCTGTGTGTATTTAGTAGTAGTTAATACTTTAATTCAGTGCATACTGTTTTAATCATTAAATATTTAACTATTAAATGTTTAATTAATAAATGTGCATGATATTTTAGAAAACCAATTATTAGGACTACTTTTAACCTATGTGAAATCTCATATGTTTTATGGTATAACAAGTAATAAATGACATTTTTCAGTCTACTATGTCAATCCATTTTATGCCAGTATTAGCAAACTTGTGCAAATAAAATGTCATGATCATTAAACGAGTAAAAATATGAAATCATAAAGTTTAGTAGAAGTTACATTTATACTGATTCTCAGTATAACTTAAGATTATATTAAAAAGATGGCAGTAATTATTTCCTTGCATCTCATTAAATGAGACCAAATGACACTTAACCTAAATATTTAGGCTAGTAAAACTAATGGGTATTTTTTCACACTGCATTTTTTGTTTTACTAATAACAGATTTATTAATTAGAATCCCATTTATTGTGAATGACAGACACCATCATTCTGTAATCATGGGCACACAGGGAATGTATTAACCCCCATAACCAAATTACAGTAAGGGCAAGGGCACAGCTGGCCACAACGACAGGAAAGCCACCCAGAAGCCTT